TAGGTTTTGGGAAATCTAAAACAGCATCGATCTTTTTGGGATTAGGTTAGACCCCATCGGCAGTGATAACATGACCTAAATATTCTAATCCAGGTCTTAGGTATTCACACTTATCAGGTTGAAGCTTAAGACCGGTTTGACGTAATCTTTCAAAAACAGTTGTTAAATTTTTATTGTGCTCTTCTATAGTTGATCCAAAAACTACAATATAGTCAAGATAAACAACGCAAATTTTATTGATCAATCCATTTAAGGCGTTGTTGATCATTCTCTAAAATGTCGCGGGTGCATTCTTTAGTCCGAAAGGCATTCGTTCGAATTCGAAGTGTCCTTCGGGTGTGGAAAAAGCTGTGAATTTTTTCGAATTTTCTTCCATAGGAATTTGATGAAATCCAGCGCTGAGGTCAAAAGCAGAAAAGAATTTTGCTTTTCCGAGGGTATCGAGGATGTCCTCTATAACCGGAAGCGGATACGAGTCTTGATCCGTGATTTCGTTGATTTTTCTAAAGTCAATGACGACTCTCCATTTCTTTTGCCCTGAGGCGCCAGATTTTTTGGGGACTATCCATACTGGGGCATTATAAGGAGAATCTGAATGCCTTAGGGTCAAAATAAGTGAAGCCGGCCACTTGAAAAATTTTTATCTCCAATTTTCAAGTTATCTATGATTTTTAGTAGATATATGAGTACACTTTTTCCCCCTAAAATATTTTTCAAAAAAAAATTTTATTTTTGAAGTAATCAGGTATTGAAGTTTTAGGTCATTTTATTTTCATTTTATTATTACTTTGAAACAAATAAAGATAATTAAGTAATTTTTTTTTAAATTAAAGCTTAAAGTCTATACTTTAAAGATGAAATAAAGCGATTGCTAAAAAATGAAAATTTATAATTGTTATTAACAATTCTTTTAAACAATTGCAAATTGAAGAATGTTCTCAATGTTTTTGAAAGATTAAATTACGATATATTGATGCGCAAAACTATAAGGATTCATTTAAAAAAAAGAAAAATGAGTAACCTCCAAAATTATAGAAATTGTGTAGATTTTTCTGCCAAAATGCAGGCCAAAATCGATTTTTAATCTTAAAAATCCGCTTGAAAGCGTGAAGTTTCTAACAAAACAAAAGAAGATCTTATTTATTCGTTTGCAATTTTATCTTTTTCCAGGAACTTGAGTCAATTTTTGCTTGCATTTTGTCAGCAAAATTTACATAATTTCTATAATATTGGAAGTTACTCATTTTTCTTTTTTTTAAATGAATCCTTATAGTTTTGCGCATCAATATATCGTAATTTAATCTTTCAAAAACATTGAGAACATTCTTCAATTTGCAATTGCTTAAAAGAATTGTTAATAACAATTATAAATTTTCATTTTTTAGCAATCGCTTTATTTCATCTTTAAAGTATAGACTTTAAGCTTTAATTTAAAAAAAAAATTACTTAATTATCTTTATTTGTTTCAAAGTAATAATAAAATGAAAATAAAATGACCTAAAACTTCAATACCTAATTACTTCAAAAATAAAATTTTTTTTTGAAAAATATTTTAGGGGGAAAAAGTGTACTCATATATCTACTAAAAATCATAGATAACTTGAAAATTGGAGATAAAAATTTTTCAAGTGGCCGGTTTCACTTATTTTGACCCCTTATAATGAATTGTTTTCAGAAATCTTGAATTTGACTGGTCAGTTCTTGTTTGTGACACTCTGGAGGTTTGTAGGACTGATTATTAATGATTTTATCTTCTTTTAGGATTATTTTGTGAGAGGCAAGAGAAAAGGGTTGTTCCTGGAAGAGGGTCTCCAGGTAGTCTGAATATGGAGACGCATGAAAAATGCCCAAATCTTATAAGACATAAGTCTTATTTAACATAAAATCATTTAATATAATTAACATGAGTCAGAAATCTTACTGGACATAACACACATTAGTTATAATTTCCATTTGAAATACTTTGTAGTTAACATAAAATATACTTGACATAAATTCTTTTTGACATAAAATTAATTTTACATAAAGTTTACATACCATAAACTTAATTTAACATAAATCATATTTGACGTAAAAATCAGTTGTCAAAAATTTTGTTTTAACTAAATTTTATATTACAGAAATGTTACTTTATATAAAATATAATTGACATATGTTTTATTTAAAATAACAAAAATTTGACATCAATTCTAATAAAAATAATTTATATTTGACATAAGTTTCATGAAAAATAAATAGCATTTGACATAATTTGTTCTTGGCATAAAACTTACTAGAAATACTTCTAATTTACTAGATTTCATACTTAATATAATTTTAGTATAACATAAATGTTACTGAATATAAGTTTCATTTAGTATAAAATTTATTTGTCATAATTTTCAAATGAAATAAGTTTTATTTGACATAAGTTTTATAAATGATAATTTTCACTTTATATAATTCTCACTTATAATAGAATTTATTTGACATAAATCTTATTTGTCACAAAACTTACTTCTTATAATTTTAATTTCAAATAATTTTCACTCGATATAGCTTCCATTTAGTCTAAAACATATTTGACATAAATTTTAATTGAAATAATTGTTATTAGGTATAAGTTTGATTAAAGATAAATTTCATTTGACATAAATCATACTTAACATAGAACGCGCTAGACATATGTCTCATTTGTCATAATACATACTTTTTATAATTTTAATTTAAAATAATTGTTACCGAACATAAGTTTCATTTAGTATAAAACTTATTTACCATACATTTTATTTAATATTAAATTTTCTAGTCATAGTTTTTACTTAACATATAACACATTTTATATAAAGTTCATATTACATAAAAATCACCTGTAATATATTCTACTTTACAGAAATTTGGTTTCACATAAGTCTCAATAAATATAAATATAATTTGTCATAATTCCTAATTGACATAAATTTCTTTCTATATAATTCTTATTTGACATAAAATTCAATTAATATAATTGTTATTAAACATAAAACTCAATTAACATAATTCTAATTAGACATATATTTTTGTAAACATAAAAGTTAGTTGTCTTAAATTTAACTTAACCTAAATTGCATTTAATATAATATTTACTTACCATAAATATAATTTGTCATAAATCTAAAATGCCATATTTTTCACTTGACATAAAAGTTTATTGGCCTAAATTAAATTTGTTATAAAATTCTATTGTTATAATTTTTATTTAACATAAAAATTATATAATATAAGGTGTATTTGGCATAAATTTTACTAGGTATAATTCTTATTTGACATAAACACATTTTACAGAATTCTCACTTGATGTAAAACTCATCTGTCATAAGTCTCATTTGACATAAAATTTATCAAATATAATTTTCATCTGTCAAAAAATTTATTTGACATAGGTTTCATTTGATATAAAAACCATTTACTATAAATTTTATAAGACATAAACTTTATTTAATATAAATTGTCTTTTAAGAAATGTTATATTTTATAAATTTTAAATAATATAATTTTTATGTTTCATAAGTGTTTGTAAACATAACTTGCCTTTAACAGAAGTAACATAAAGCATAACTTTTAAATATAATAAGTATTAATTGAACTATATTCTTTTTGATATAAATCCCATTTGACATAAAATGGCGGAACTAAGAAATTTTGACTTTACATACCCATCCATGAGATATTGGATTATAGTTTGAATACGTCGGTAAAGTAGAGTAGGTGTCTCTGTTTTCCAATTCTTCATTGCCAAAATATAATAGCGCCAAAATTTGAATTCTAAAATAATAAATCTTTTTCTTTTATTAGCCACAGAAAACAATATTTATTAATTATGACCATCAATATTTATTTTACTTTATTTATATTATTAAAAATGTTTAGTAATGATAAAATAATTCAGTAACAATAAAAGTGATAAAATGCATCTCTATTTTAATATTAAAGCCTTTCGAAGTTTGAAGTAAATTCTTTTAGTTTTGTTTCTATGTTTCCTAGTTTTCTGGATAATTTTGTACTTAAATGTTTTTAATATCAAAATTAATTAAATTCGAATTTAATGCTTTCAAGATTAAAAGTTAACAAAATTAATTTAAAGAAAATGAATTGAAAATAAGAATTATAATTTTATTTGTAACTTTAAATTAACATTCTAAAATATAAAAATAAATAATTTGAATTTGTTGTAGAAAAATTAATTTTCATTACTGAAAGTAATTTTTGAAATAAGTATTGAAAAAAAGTTTAAAAATTACACTTTTGTCGAAAGTGGCAGATAATATAGTGTCGAGCACACAGACAAATTGGATCTAAGTGTCAGTGGTCTAGAAGGTGGTGCCAAATCTAGCTTGTGGCCGAAGCTGAACTAAAAAAATATCTCAAACTCAAATTACTCCAATTTCATTCTTTAATAATATAATTTAATTTCGTTAATGGTATTTGTTTTATAAAAAAACAATGTTTTTTATTTATATTTATGTCTTCATCTATGTAAAATAGAAAAAATAACTCAGAATTTTTATATCATTTTAGTTTCAAAAAGCTGAAATTTTAACTAATTCAGATAATAAAATAAATAATAAATTCATAAAGTTTCAAATAGAATTTGAGAGGAATTTAATTAAAATTGTATTGGATAAAATTGAATTCCTCTAAAAAATTGTATAAAAAGTTTTGAAACTAATTATATTTTTCCAAAGAATTTTATTACATATTTATAAAAATAAGTGACTTCTTGGCAAACATTTTATTTTTATGAACAACAAAATTTTTTCCAAAAAGTTATTATACAAAAACTTAAAAATACGTTTTAATCTGGGTGGCCGCTGAACCGGGAAAAGATAGTAAATTCTTATTTTGACCGTGAATTTTTAAATTATTTTTTAAAAGCAATTATTTTTTTATGACACTAATCATTTTTTGCGAAAAAATAGAAATAATTACTTTAAAACTTATTAACTATTTTTTCATTAATAAAGAGTGAATGATCTCCCAAAAAATCGTTTTAGAATAAGAATAACTAAAAATCATATTAAAATATCAAGTAAAGGAGCAAGATCCTATTACGGTGAATGCAATACTATAATAGATAGATTATAATAAGTAAATATTCCGCTGTCCTCTTATGTAAGCTGATAATAGATTCGGTCGGATTTTTATAGACAATAATGACACTCACAAATATAGTAAATATACTATTTATAAAATTGTTTAAACCGCTTATAAAAAGCCCTTAAAAAACTAGCCAAAATATAGCCGGGAAAAAATTGTGAATTTTTTTTATGAAAAAAATGGCCACCCTGGTTTTTATAATTCGAATATTGCCACATATTCATTGAATGGATCTGTATTAAAATTGATTATATTCTCGAGGAATTCTAGTGCAGTTGGTCTGTTGTCCTGTTGCAGATTTCGCCATTGATGAATTATATATTCGTTCCTCATAAGGATTATTTTCTTTTGCGGTCTAGTAACCCTATTGCCTTTCGACAAAGACGCAAAGTCTAACAATAATCCCTGTTGGAATTCTCCTAGTTTTTCTGAAACAATGATAAGAAATAATAATAATAATAATACGCTATTAAATTAAACTTATTTTTATTTAATTAAACAGCTATTGTCGAGTTTATAGACAAAAAAATCAATTTAATACTTCACTGTAAAACTGTTCTGTCTTTACGTTGAGCTATAAACCGTACTATTTAAAATTTGACTGTTTTGCACGTTCTTGGATAAAAACATACAACAATTAATAAAAAATAATTTCTATAAAATTATTACGTATCATTATAAAATTTATTTTGTACTTTAAACAATATACACAAAAATCTATTCATAATAAATCAAGCCAAACAAGTAAGCTAACATTGAGATAGCACAATTTACAGCTGGGCTCGAAGATAACAGGGACCGTCACGGAAATCAAATTTTGATTTCGTTACGATATTCCAAAACAAAACAAAATTATTAATGTATTTTGATTTTGATTCGGTAACGAAACAAAATTTACTTTCTATTTTGATTCTGATACTGTAACGAAACAAAATTTACTTTCTATTTTGATTCCGATACTGTAACGAAACAAAATTCACTTTCTATTTCGATTCCGATATTGTAACGAAACAAAATTCACTTCCTATTTTGATTCCGATAATGTAACGAAACAAAATTCACTTCCTATATTGATTCTGATACGTTAACGAAACAAAATTTACTTCCTATTTTGATTCTGATATTATAATACTGCAATTCGGTTTTCTTATAGAAACAGAAGTCGATTCGAATTCTATTTAAGATTTCGTATGTAAAAACGATATTATCTTCTGATATATTTGACATTTGCAACAAAATTTAGGTTCAATGAGACTTATACATGCGCAGTAGTATTTTCTCAAAATTAAAACAAAAAAGAATTTTGATTTTGATATTGGAATCAAAACTAAATAGAATGGAATTTTGATTTTGATATTGAAACCAAAACGAAATAGAGTTGAATTTTGATTTTGATATTGGAATCAGAACTAAATAGAGTGGAATTTTGATTCTGATACCCATATCCGAATCAAAACAAAAGTATTTTTTAATTTTGTTTTGATTCCGTGACGGTCCCTGGAAGATAGAATAATTTATTATAAAAGTTGCAATATTTAACTTACTTTGATAATTCTTTGGAAAGTATAATATTTTTTAGTTTAAGTGATTTCATTTTATATGTATATACATTTTTTTAATTACTTTATTTAATATTAAAAAATTAATATTTAATCGATAAAAGAAAAATCCTTCTCGAAATAACTTTGAAAATTATATTTAGGTTTAATAAATATATAAATTAATCAATTACATAAGAAGTTTTCTCTCGTGACAATGTTTTAAAATAAACAGTCTTCTTTATTAAAAAAGAGCTAAAAATAAATAAATAAAAAAAGCACAAATTTGATAATCGCCTCAAAAAATTGTCAAGACCAGTGATGTTTTTCAAGGTACAAATTTAAAAAAATTTCTGAGACTCTCTGTGTTTGGAAAACAGGTCTTATTTAATATTAAAAAATAGTGCAAATTCATAAAAAAAAGCCTATATTTGATAAATTGACTCTAAATATTTTAAAAATAAATCAAGACCAGCATCGTTTTTCAATACACTTATTTTTTCTAAATAAAAATGCATGGAATTTGCAAGCGGTACTTCCATGAAACTTATCAACGTGTGATTAATTATTTAGAGAAGAAAAATATTTTTTATTTAGAGTGAATTATTCGAAAAAAAAAAGATTACTTACTTGTAAAATTCCAAATGCTAGGTTTTTTACCGAAAACTGTCAACAATGTTTTATGGTACGATTCAAGGACGTTATTTGTTCGATCTTGAAAACCGTACACGCTAAATCCTTCTGGTCTAACTCTTCTAAGCCATTGTCTTTCGAAGTAATTAAAGAATTCCCTTAGTCTACGTCGACATGCGGCGCTTTTCGAATTTTTTAATTCATTATATGTTGGATTAATTTCTTCATATGGCAGAAGAGCTAGAGCCATTATCTGACGCAGTGTGTGCTTTCCTTCGTCATTCTGCATGAAATATCTTCTTAAACCAAGTTTCATTCCTTTAAGGTAAATAGCCTAACAATGAAAATTATTAAATTAGTATTATGTTCATAAAATTAATTATTATAAGATAATAATTTATATAATTTTTCTGTTCTATTGTTTAAAATGTACCTCTGATTGAAAAATATTTACATTTAAAAATTTATAATTATAATTAGTGTTAACATTTTTTATATTAAAAATTAAACTGAAATAATTTTCCAATGAATTACAATATAAATATTTATTAAAGTAATCTTTAAATTTAACCAATAAAAAGATATTACCTTCACGAAATGAAAGTAGCATCTTCGAACTTGGGAATTTGGAAAATGGTACAACACTGAATTTTGCAATGCTACTTCAAAATCAGACATTGCTGACGTAATTTCCAATTCCGGAAGGATTCTTCGTATTTCTCCTAAAACCGATACATAGGCCAATTCGGATTTATTTTCCATAAGGGCATATGCAATTGGAAATCCCTGTGTATTATTGTAAAATGCGTATTATTAATGTGAAAAACGAAAAAAGATGGCAAAAGGGGACTATCTGTGATGAATATTGATAGATAACATTAAACTTTTTCGAGCAATGTCGATAATGCAGAATAATCGACAAAAACTGTATCACATATAACATAACAAACAGTGATAACTTTTACAAAATGCATTTAGTACATGGCGTACAAATTTTTGGATTCTATTAAAAACTAATTAATATAAAGATAATACATATGTATAATAAAATTAACTTACATGATTATACTTGACCATCATTAATGTAAGAAATTGGAGTGCATCCGATACTCCTGGTACAATTTTGTACGTTGCATCTAGATACAATGAATTATTCTGTGTTATAATTTTCCTTGAAAACTGTTCGTCAATAAATATTATTGATGTCGATCCGTCTTCACTAGTAATAGGGGAGACAGTAAAAACTCCACGATGAAAATTCTTCCATTCCTGATAATTTTCTGAATTTATTATGTCAGCATAGGATCGAAGACAGTCTGGATACGGGGGCAAGGTAGGGCAAAGTACTTCTACGCCATTTATACATGGAACTTTCAATCGAATTGAATGTGACGTCAACAGCCGCTTCAGTATGTCTAAAGTAACAAGAAGAAATAATGTTGAAAATAAAATATTATTTTAAATGCATGATTACACTGTTAAAAATCAGACTCCAACTCACATCGAAAGATTGAAAATTATTTACTTTTAATTTCAAAAAGTGTGAATACTTTTATTTGATTGGATTCACTAAAAACTTGAAGGCAATGAAATGCAAGAATTCACAAAACTTTGTGAGATTGAAATAACATCATTTCATCTTTTTGATGTAAATATGAAGTCAGATTTTTAACATGTAAGTATGCTCAAGTATTTAATTGCGAATATTTATAATATGATATATTAAATTAAGCTAGGATCGAAGACAGTCTGGATACGGGGGCAAGGTAGGCAAAGTACTTCTACGCCATTTATACATGGAACTTTCAATCGAATTGAATGTGACGTCAACAGCCGCTTCAGTATGTCTAAAGTAACAAGAAGAAATAATGTTGAAAATAAATATTATTTTAAATGCATGATTACACTGTTAAAAATCAGACTCCAACTTCACATCGAAAGATTGAAAATTATTTACTTTTAATTTCAAAAAGTGTGAATACTTTTATTTGATTGGATTCACTAAAAACTTGAAGGCAATGAAATGCAAGAATTCACACTTTGTGAGATTGAAATAACATCATTTCAATCTTTTTGATGTAAATATGAAGTCAGATTTTTAACAATGTAAGTATGCTCAAGTAATTAATTGCGAATATTTATAATATTATATAATTTAAATTAACTTTTAATATTAAAGTTCTTTTTAAAAAATTTTATTTTCTTATTTTAAGTTTTGAATTTTTTTAAACTGTAAAAATAATACTCACTTCAAACGCGTTGAATCATAAATTTTTTTAAAATTTAAATCCTGTGTTTTAACAGCTTGGCATAATTCTTGTTTGAATTTGCGTTTCTTTATTTCCTTTTCATTTTTAGTATGAGTGTGTTCTCCTTTTAATTCAAAATTGCCATTTTTTTCAACACCACGTGCTTTACAAGTGCCTTTTTTATATTCAATACACTCATAATAACTAAAAAAAATTCAAACCAGAGTAGTATATATACAGAAATACTGCTTAAAAATTAATAATACAATATAAATTAACTTAAGAAAAATAAAGTTTTAGTATAGGTATTTAACTATTTAGTACTTCAGGCTCTACGTGTGTTTAAATCCAAATATTTTAAAAAGTACTAAATGTATTGAAATGTCCTGCAATTTATATTACGATTTTAACACAATTAATGATGTTCTAGAATATTTTACAAACCCATTAAGTACCTACATTAGTCTCTACGTTTTTAGGTGTTCTTGTGACTTTTTTAATTTTTTTTAATTATACAAGAACAAGATATATTAATTTTAAAAGGTTATCGATTTCTGAATTTTTGCGTACTTTGCAATTTAATATTTTCGTTAAAGAAAAATAAAAAAATTTATCACTTTCATGGCAGCTTTTGAATCACATCGAATTTTTGTGAACCGAATCAAACTTTTTTCAGGTTAAAGTACTTTATTCTCTTTTAATTGAAGTTTGTTTTTAATGTAAAAACTGTGATCAAAACGTGATCAAAACAGTTTTTTCAAACAGCAATTTTTAAACTTTTATATCTTTTAAAATAGGTCCGCCATAAAAACAAAAAAATTCTGTGTTTGTAGATTTTAGTGTTATTTATAAGTTGTAAATGTGACAAATTATATTATATATATTAAGTGACAAAGTATTTAGAAATTGAATACTTTTAACTCAATATTTTCTTGAATATTTATTTTTAAAGACAAAATTAAGAAAGGGAAAAGAAAACTTAAAAATTTTTCAAAAATAGTCTAGATTATGTAAGTTTTTATTTAATTTATTAATTACACTTTTCTGTAATTAACTGATAAAAGTTTCAAAATTAGTATCTATTATTTATTATTTGAATTTTTCCACTAGTTCAATTATTAAAAAAATTAATTAACTAATTTTTAATAAGAATCAATAATATTTTTTACAATTTTAATAATTTTTAATTGCTTTTTTTACATATTTTCTGATTACTAAAAGAGTGACGTGTATATCCACACCTTTCCCATTTTACAAAAATTAAACTACAAAAATTTTATTCGAAATATATTAATGGTTCAATCCATATGATAGTTTACTCTACTAGTTTTTTATGGCTATAGCTATAATTAGACTATAGTCTAAGCTTTTGTTTTCTTTTATACTATTATATAAGGTATTTGGATATATTGGTTTCTATTTTTCTTTAATGTTATTATCGCGTGCTACAGTTTTGACAAATTTGTAATTGCTTGTATAAAAAATTTAAAAACTGTCAATTTACTTACATTGTATTATCCTTCTGACTGCTAATTCTGTATAGATATCCGTTTCTAACGTGACCTCTAAATGTCTTTGCCCTCGATGCATCATCTGCCATCTTTTAATATAATGTAATGATGAAATTTATATTGTTAATTATAGGAAATTATAATTATAATATTAAAATTAAGTGCATACTTAAAAATGGAATTACAAATTTTTTTAATGAGAAAGTAATTAGATTTAAGGAAGAATCTGACAAAGAATCAAAACAAGATGTAGTTCAACACGTCATAATATAATATTTTACATATAAAAAAGGATAAATTAAATTTTAAATTCTATTTAATGGAAGCATAAAAAATTTAATTTTCAACATTTTAAACAATGAATAGTTGTAATTGAATAAAAGTGATTACTTTCTAACAATAAGAAACGATTGACATAACATAACCTAAAATTTTACAAATTTACTAATTGAATAAAAATTTGATTTCTCAATTGAATTGTTGGGTTTTATATTCACATTTTTTTATGGGTTTTATTTATTCTGCGAAGAATAAACGACGATAAATATATAGTAGATAATTAAATAGTGATGAAGAAAGTCACTATCTACACCTTGTAGATGAATAGCATGAATAGCAATAGCAAATATTTTTGATAAACAGAAATGGAAACATTTTTACGAAAGAATTTTTCGTTTACTATTAATTAAAAAAAGGTAATAATACCTATAAATTAATTCAATTAAATTCAAATTCTTAAAAATTTGTAAATAAATTTATAAATAATACATTATACTACTTTAAAAAGTTAAAATAAAAATTTATATTTTTACAAATTATAATTATATAGATTCATTTAAGTTTATACATTTCTTCATTAGTTCATTATGTATATAGATCCCAAACAAATATTTAATTAATATACAAGTAATTGAATGCTCGACTTTTAATTTTTATAAAAACAGTGTGTATTCAAAATATCATTTAAACTAAATTATAAATATGCAAGTGTATTACCTTTATGATCTTGTAATTTTTATTGTCGATTCTTTTGAAAATTCCGTCGTTCACAGATACATAAGTTTCGCCATACGTTCGATCAACGCCGGTAAGGAGTAATACAACACATAATAGAAAAAAATTAAGTAAAATTATCAATAAAAGAAATTATAGAACGCATAAATAATGAATAGAAGGGTAGCAAGAAAATAAAGAGTTTAATTGGAGTAAACACTGTAATAACTTTTTCTGAATGAAATGTAATTGCTTTGAACACCATGTGCCGTATTATGGAAATAAGCAGAACTTTAATATATCCGTCCAAATTGCAGACTTATTTGCGCATGGTCACACGCTTATTGTAATAAAATGGCGCGTCACTTTAAGGCGCGAAATTTAAATTTTGTTCAGGTTTTCCTTTAAGATAGTTATTGAATTGAAAAGTTTACAATAAATTTGGAAGCAATTTTGCAGCAAAATATACATATGTACAACAAAAGTCCTCTTGTTCTGCAAGTTTAATGTAACGTTTTATATAAACGTTTCATTATTTAGAGTTTTTAAATACATGTTATTATATACTTTTAATTAAAATAGACTCCATTAATTATACATTACAAGTAAACAGCTCTATCCAAAATAAATATTTAAATACAATTTTTTAGATGCTTGTTTTATACGGCTTGTAGGTAATTATAAAGCATTAGAAATTCATAAAATGCTTATAAAAAATTTGCTTTGGACGAATAAAAGAAAGTAAAAAAAAAAAAATTGGCCCATAATTCCCCAATCTTCCCTAATTTGTGGAATTATCTCTATCTTCTTTATACGTTTATTCAATTTTAATAGAATTTATTTGCGCAGCTTCCATATTTCTATTTTATATTTGACCACCGAGCGCTAAAAAATTTTCCAATATCAACTTTATATCAAAGTAAAGTTCAAATTTAAAATTTTTTAAAAATAGAATGTTAAAACAATAAAAAATCTTTTATTTTAATTCGTAAAAAATTTATGGATACATATTTCAAGATAATGATTTTTTGTAAAACATCATATCGTTATTAATTTTTAGAAGAACAGCAATTATTTTAAATTATATAATAAACTTCTGAAAAAAATTTTATTTAATTTTTAGAAAAAGTTACTTATTCTAAAGTTTAGTCTAGGTGTTCAAAAATAAAAATCAGTTTAAATAATAAAATTTGTTTATTTTTCAATTCATAATTCATAAATATTATTAAAAATTTAAAGTTTCATTAAAAACAAACTAAAAATGTCTTTGTATTTTATGAAATTCCAATCATGAGTCTTTATAGCTCGGCATAAGACTTGAATAATTTTTCTCTTTCATTTTTAGCATGATTATGATCTTTTTTCAAAATGAAATCACCATTTTTTTCCACGCCACAGGCATTGCAATTGCTTTTCTTGCAATAAATGCACTCATAATAACTGTAAAAAAAAAGCAAGTCAGTATAGATAAAGTATTTAAATATAAAATATTTTAAATATTTAACAAATGAAAAGAAAGTTATCGTTTTAAAATACATAAACTTAATAATGAAATTTATATACATTTTATTTCTATTAATTGCTTGTTTAAAAATTTTTAGTTTACTTACATTGTATTATTCTTTTGGCTTCTGATTCTATAAATATACCCATCTTTGATGTAATATTCCATTACTTTTCTGTATGATGAATTAGTTGCCATCTTTTTATGACATGTAATAAAGAAATTCAAAATGTTGTTAATTACAGAACAATATAATTATAATATTTTAATATTATTTACATAAGCCAAAAAATTATCATTAAACATTTTTATTGAGACATTAATAGAAAACAGGAACTAGATTTAAAAAAGAATCTGAGAAAAGAATTGAAACTATATTTAGTCCAATGTCACAATTTTGTATTTTTTATATAAAAAGGATGAATTAAATTTTAAATTTAATTTAAATGAAAGCATAAAATATTTAATTTTCAATTTTTAAAAACATTGAACGTTGTATTTAAATATGACAACGAACCAACGTTTGTTATGACTGTATATTAGATTTTTTATAACATTATTACTTTTTTAATTCAAACTTGAACGATATAATTTATGGATGTAAAGATTATTAAATATTACTGAATGCATTAAAAATTACATAAGCTAATAAAATATCTTTAGAAATATTTTATTATTTTTAATTATAAATTTAAGAACTAATAAAAATATTCCTTTAAGGTATTTTTCCGACTACTACTCTTGAAGAAATTGATTTTTGATAGATTTTCTTCAATTTTTGAGATACTGTTTCTTCGGGTGCCTTTTAAAAGTGGTAAAAATTTCAAAACCCTTTGCGATGCTAAATTTTTAATTATTCAAATTCAAAATTTAACTTTTACTTGCGATTATGTTAAAATAAAAAAAATGTCAATCACAATATCTCGTTTTATGACATGACATGACAAAGGGTTTTGAAACAAAGGTTTTATCACATTTAAAGGTCAGCCGAAGAAACATTTTCTTGAAATTTGAAGAAAATCTATCGAAAACCCCAAACAAATAATCAATTAATATACAAGTAATTAAATGCTCGACTTTTAATTACATATCATAAAATACAATATTCAAACTAACTTTAACTAAATTATAAATATGAAACGTGTATTACCTTTATGATCTTGTGATTTTTCCTTTGAAAATTGCGTCGTTCACAAATAAATAGGTTTCGCCTTATTTTCGATGAACGCCGGTGAGGAGCAATATATCCGTCCAAATTGTAGACGTCTATGTTTGCGCATGGTCACACGCTCATTGTAGTAAAATGGCGCGTGACTTTGAGGCGCGAAATTTAAATTTTGTTAAGGTCTACTATTTTTGTTCAACAAAATTCTCGGTTATTTCCCAGCTTTGTTCTAATTTTTCTCGATTTTTTTTCTAATCAAATTTATATTTATTTGATATCGCACATAAATAAATCTAAAACAGTCTTCCAAAATTTTTATTAGAGTTTTTATGAATAATTACATTCTCTTGACGAGTTTCTTTCAATTTTTTGACAATAATGTTTCTTAATCAATTTAATTAAAAATTTAGAAAATAATTGAATTTTATCGAATCCATTTTATTATAACTATCAACTTTTTATTCTAATTTTAATATAAATATTTTGTAACAATAGCTTTAAAACAAATGTTTTGATGTCTCCAGACGAAAAAAATTAAAACCATAGACAACTTTTCTGGATTAATAAATACAGGATAATTTAATGAATTGTATTGAAGAAATATTAAATTTTTTTTTATTTATTCTAATGACATATTTTGTAATGGACGACACATTAAATACACAAGTGTAAAATTGTATTCCGCAGTCAAAAAAGTTATATGACATTCATTGCATTCATTATTTTGATTGCATACTACTTTTTCATTTTGTAAAAAATTTTAAAACACATATTTGAATCTATTAACCAAAATTAGGATTTTTTTGTTTTATTGATCCAAAATTTATAAACAGTTTAAAAAATTAAAATTTTGAAAAGTTTATCTTCTTGATATTTTTTCGGTTTTCAAAATTTTATGTGTGTGTTTTCCGTTTTAAGTATTATTATTATAAGGGAGCTTTGTGCTCAAAAATTAAATATAAAAATATAACATATTCAAATTCATAAAAAAAAATAAGAAGGTAGTACCACTTTGCTGCTGTTATTATTTTTAGTTCTTTCTAAATCTGAATTAATAAAGCTATATTAAATGTCTTAAAGTCTGTCATCTACCAGTTCCAATGTCACTAAATAATTTCACTTTTAAAATTAAATTTGATAATATTATGATATGAAAGATTGAGAATTTTTTTGTAATCAGTAAAAATGTTATTCATTCAGATTAAGAATACTTTATTATTCTAAATGAATAAATAATTGGTATAAAAAAGCTTCTTGATTAAAATTATTAAAATATATTTTATATAAAAATTAAAAAACATTAATATAAAAAACTTTATGTCATAAGAAGTATCAGAATCATAACATTATTAAAATTATTATAATTATCTAATATTCCAAGGATTAATATACTAAGTGTAAAATGAAATTAATGAAATTGTAATATTTCGTTAGAAAAATATCAACGGATTTTGGGATTGAATTTTAATAAAAATTAAATATTTTTATTTATCACCTATACAACACAATTTAAAAAAGCGTCATTTAAAAAACAACATTTTCCAACTAATATCAAGTCTCCATATTAATCTAAACACCATTTATAAATTGTAATATTTCTGCCTTCTTCTTACCCTTTTGAAAAAGTTGCTTTCAACCGATAATTTTAACGATGCACATAATTCGTTTCCTACACAGAGGACATGCTGATATTCCCATTCTGTTATATGTTATTTTGCAAATGTCACAAATCTGTTTGTGCCCACACGGAATGAAAGCATGCGTTCTCTCCCTTTCTCTACAAATGCAACAATTATTTGCACCTGTTTTGTAAACAGAAAAAAGAGATAATTATTAAAACCAATTCTGTTAGAAATTACAAATAAAATAAGTCTGAGAATACTAAATTGTTATTAATTTTTGTTTATAATTATAATTATACAAAAGGTATATGTTGAAATTTAAATCCCTATCATTAGTCTAAATAACCATTCTCATAAACAATTTTCATTATAAGACAATTTTTAAATAATTATTTCTCCTACTCCTTAAAGCCAAACTTTATTTACTATTAGTTGGTTTAAAAGAAAAATCCCTTAACTTTACAATGGCAAAAATAATTTAACAGTAAAATAATTTATAAAAAAATTAATTTTGAAAGATAATCTTTTAAATATCTCAAAACATGTCGCCATGTCGCCTAATGAGCAATTCAGAGAAAGAACACAGCAGAATTTACATTAGTTTTGGCTCCCAGTGGTTATCTTTTGTAACTTTAGATTTCAAAGTTATTATTATTGAGAATAGCAAGAACTATAAAATCCCAAAGTTACAGAAAAATTTACTGAGAGTCAAAATTAATGTAAATCCTGCGGGGTCCTTTAAGAATTAAACTAAATTTTACAAAACTGTCAGAGGTTAAATAGTTTAAAAATTTGAAAAAACAAATTCCACTCGATACATTATAATCTTTGAAATTCTTGTAAAATTTAATTAATCTCTCAAATATCCATAAATTACCCATTATAATGTTCATAGGAGATTAAACTAGAATATTTAAGCTGCATCAGAGGCAACATGTTTTAAAATATTTAAAAATTACTTTACAATGACTATTGTTTATAAAGGGGACGATTTTAAAATAGAATGCTCTATATCTATCAATGTTATCAATATTAATAAAGATTTATGGTTTTGTAAAAACAATTAAAACCGGCATTTTAGTACTTTTGATACAAATCAATCTAAAAAAGTTTTTAAAATTTTTAATAAGAAGATATTATTTAAAATTCGTGTAATACTATGAAAAAAAAATTTCTGTTATTTATTTAACTTATTGATTTTTAACAAAATTCTGTAAATTACCTTCATCGTCTTCATCTGTTTCATCACTTTCAATAGGATTAACTCGAGCAACTCCATCATTTCTATTTTGTAACTGATCTACAGCCGCTATAAAATTTCCAATTGCAAATTTAGTTCAAACTGTTATTCAAATAGTAACTGAATTTTTAAAAAAAGTCATGTTAAAAAAATACAAATTCTTTTTATTTTAATTTCTATGAAACTTATGCACTCATTTTAATATATTGTGATAAATTATATTGACCTTCAGTTTCTTCATCCGAATCATCGATTATAATACGATTGAATTCTGCAACTCGATCATTTCTATTTTGCATCTGGCCTTCCAGCACTGAAAATTTTTGATTGGAAATATTTTATTAATCTAAAGTTTAAATAGTTGTAGAATTTTCAATGAGATAAAAATATTATGTTCAAAAAGTATAAATGTTTCAACTTCAATTTGTATGAATATGATACACATACACATATTTCATAAAATAGTTTTTTCCTGCTTTGTATCGTTATAAATTTTTGTAAATTAAAAATTTTCACAAATCAGATATCTATAATTATAAAAAATAACATTATAAATTTGTATTTAAAAAAACACTTGTTAATAAAAATTCGAATCTTTTATACAATTGAAATTACTTATGCTGAACACTTGGCACTACTGACTCAGATAGTTAAAACCGGAATTAAAACATACTAAAACTGATTATAATTTTTGATTTATGAGTTACACTCAACAATAACTGCACAAAGAAAAATTTAATTTAATTTCAGTACCTACAGTAATTATTTTCCTTTAAGAATGTTTAATTTCTCTTTATTTTAAATGACATTATTGTTATGTTTTACTTATTTAAAGTCTAACAGCTTTTAATTTGTGTTGGAGAATAAATTGACTTTTAGTTCTACGAAATTAAAATTTTATGAAAAAAATTTCTAGACCAAGAAGCACATAATTTTTTATAATATGAACATAATTCTCTTTAATCTTTAAAAAGCTTTTCAATACAATCAAGGCCGATTAGAAAATAGTTACTTATAAATTTTCATTTCTTTATTTCTATTTTGTCGGTATAAACCTTGATAACTTTAGATAAAGTAAATGAATTTGATTTCATTTTTTCTAATTAAATTACTTAAATATTAAATAAAAGTACTTTAAATTTCTATTATATTAAAGTTTAATTATTTCAATTAGGTTCTGCAAGAATTACTTTTATTCTAAATAATGTTCATCAAAATTCTTTAAATTATTATACCAACTTTTTCTGAAATTTAGAAGTAAATTTGGATATATTACAGACTTGTGAGAGCATAATATTAAGATATTTAAAAATTACTTTACAATGACTATTGTTTATAAGGGGGATCATTTTGAAATAGAATGTTGTATATCTATCAATTTTATTAATATTAATAAAGACTTATGGTTTTGTAAAAACAATTAAAACGTGCATTTTAGTACTTTTGATACAAATCAATCTAAACAAGTTTTTAAAATTTGTAATAAGAAGATATTATTTAAAATTTGTGTAATACTATGAAAAAAATTTCTGTTATTTATTTCATTTATTGATTTTTAACAAAATTCTGTAAATTACCTTCATCGTCTTCATCTGTTTCATCACTTTCAATAGGATTAACTCGAGCAACTCCATCATTTCTATTTTGTAACTGATCTACAGCCGCTATAAAATTTCCAATAGCAAATTTAGTTCAAACTGTTATTCAAATAGTAACTGAATTTTTAAAAAAAGTCATGTTAAAAAATTACAAATTCTTTTTATTTTAATTTCTATGAAACTTATGCACTCATTTTAATATATTGTGATAAATTATATTGACCTTCAGTTTCTTCATCCGAATCATCGATTATAATACGATTGAATTCCGCAACTCGATCATTTCTATTTTGCATCTGGCCTTCCAGCACTGAAAAATTTTGATTGGAAATATTTTATTAATCTATAGTTTAAATAGTTGTAGAATTTTCAATGAGATAAAAATATTATGTTCAAAAAGTATAAATGTTTCAACTTCAATTTGTATGAATATTATACACATATTTCATAAAATAGTTTTTTTCCTGCTTTGTATCGTTATAAATTTTTGTAAATTAAAAATTATTCTTTATTTGACAAAATATTTCTTAAATTTTTTGTATTTATTATTTAGCAAAAAAGTTAATATTTTATTTCAACTTATTTATAATATATTATAATTTATATATTTTCATATTTGCAAAAATTAAAAAGAAATATACTCAGAGTTTTTATGCCAACGATTTTTTATATAAGTATTGTATTTTTTTTAAGTTTTAAATAGAGATTATATTTATATATTAAAAATATACAAAAATGCATCTGTTTGTATGCAATAAAATGAACTCCTCATATAATTGGATTATTTTTTGGAAACAAAATTTAATAATTACCTTCTTCAGCTCCAGTTTCTTCATCTGAATCATCGATTACAATAGGATTGATTTCTGCAACTTGGTCATTTCCCTGTCTTCCAAACGGTAAATCATTTTCTTCTTGCAAATCTATTTCAATTGCAAGAGGATCGACATCAGCAACTTCTTGATTTTCGTTTTGTATGTCAGCTCCAAGTGCCAAATTGTTTTCCAATGGGAAATTTATTTCTATTGGCAATTGTTGTTGTGGTAAATCTAAATTATTATTATTATTATTATTATTATTATTATTATTATTATTATTATTATTATTATTATAATTATTAATTTGCTAATATTATCATCTTTAATTACCTTCATGATCAGAAATGTTGCGATTGACACCTTCAATAAGAGGTACATCTTGTTCTGTACTTTCTCGGTCAATATTCATATAAAAAAATTCAACTGATGATTCAACGAAATTATTTATCACAAAATCAAGAAACTGATCATCAGTAATACTACTATTTGCCAAGTCATTCCAATGACTTCTTATTGTCGAAGAAAAACCTTTTGACGTAGCTCTTGAAAAATTAATGCCATCTTTTGAGTTTGCGTTTATTTTCTCAACGTCGGCATGTCCTTTCTCTTGGAGTTCAAGTATTTTTTCTGAAAATTGTTTTAAACATTGAATAACGTCATAAATATTTGGAAGTAATAGAATTTTTTTGTTTTAGAATTAAAAATTGTAATAATTTTGATTCTCTTCATATTTTGTTAATTCTATTTTCAATCTTCAAAATATTAAAGTTAAAATAACTGTTATTAAAAAAAAGAAGTAACCCGAGAATCGAAATTCTTTTTAATTCTCAAAAATTCTTTAAAATTAACGGTATTAGCAAACCAAATATAAACTATTATATGTTTTTTTAAATAATAAATAACAATTTTTCAAAAAATTTACTTTTTTATTTTCTGTAACGTCAAAATTTTGTTAACGGTTTTTAAATTATATTCACACTTACTTGTGAATTTCCAAATTTCAGGATTAAATCCTAAAATACCTCTGAGTCGGCTGAAATACAGCTCTAACACACTGCATGACCTGTTCCTGTTGTTAAAAACTGAAAAGTTTTCAGTTTTAACTCCTGATAACCATACTTGGTTATAGTAGTCGAAAAATTGATGCAGTTCTCCATTTATCCCATTTTCTTCGGCGCTTTGTACAATGCTTTCGTAGACAGATTCAATTTTTCTGCTTGGTAGCAGTGGTAGAGCCATAATTTTTAATATTGTACTCCTGATGAGATCATCATTCGCTGATGTCACATGGTCCCTTAAATTTAATTTTGTTAGGGTTTTGAAAATCTCCTGGAAAATATTTTATTTTTAATATCATATTATTTTTACATTGTAATGTAATAAATCAATTTTATCTGTTTCTAATTTTAAAAGAAATTTAAAATTATTACCTCTTCATAATAATAAAGTGCCCCGTGAACTTCGGCATCTTGAAATTCGATTGACAATGCTTCATGCAGCGCTTTTGAAAAATCTGCATAAATAAATTGAACTGAAAAATCTGGCACAACTTCTTTCAGTTTACTAAAAAGTAATCTGTACGCATTTTCCGTTTTTGATTTCATTAAAGCCCAGGCACAAGGAATAGCCTGTAAGAAATATATATAATTGGTCATTTTTCCCATTCCTTTATTATTCTTAATTAATTATCAATCGTTTTTTATGAAATCAAAAAAAGTTTCCCTTAAGGGCATCCGGGAAAAATCGAGCCCAAAAAGTGTTTTCCCGCGTGTCGTCTCACTCCTAAATAATGAGAGATATTTAGTTCGGATTTATCATGATAATTAGGGGAATTCATGATGATAAATAATATTCTCGAAATTTACAAGTAATTTTTGAAATAAATATTGAAAAACGAAATTACAAAAGTTGGATTTTTGGCGAAAGTGAGAGACAATATGGCGGCGAGCACACAGACAAGTGGATCTATGTGTCAGTGGTCAAGGAGGTGGCGCCAATTCTCGGAAGTGGTCGCGACTCGAACTGAGGAAATGTATTAACTTCAAATTACTCCACTTTCAATCGTTAATAAAATAATTTCCTCGCAAAATTATTGCAAAAACGGAGAGGGCCGCTCCTCGGAGACTCTTCCTCTATCACCCCTCCAAATATGAACCCGAAATATTTTATCCTCTCAAAATGAGACGTCTATACTGAACCGTAAAAAACCCCTTTTTCCGTATATTTAAACAATTTTTTTCAATAATTATTTATCAAAATTTCTCTAAAATCCGAGAGGACCGCTGGTCCCAGAGCATTTCTCTATATTTACCAAAAAATCCCGACTCAAAATATTCTTTTCTTTTTAAATGAGACGTCTATCACGAAACCAGTATTATTTCCCGGATGCCCTTAAGTATATTTTAATTCAAACTTTTTTTTGCAAATTTCTTGTTTTTTACTGATACAATAATTTGACATGTTTATAGTAAATAATGAAATTATAAACTAGTTTTAATTTTATTATACTTACATAATTCTTATGAAGAAACATTAATGTTAATAATATTTTACAATTTATTCCGTTTGGAATATGTTTGCTTGAAATGTGAATGAAAAATTCACCATTTTCCATTACATTATTTCCAAACTCTTGATTTATTATTAACACCGATTTTGAGGAATCATCGCCATCCACTAACAAAAATTGTAAAGTACCTTTTTCGTACTGACGTAGATGGTTAAACTCAGCACTGTAAAGGTACGATACATAGGATTGAAGATCATTTGGATTTGGCGGAACATGCAATTTACGCCAACGATGCATCGATGAACGCACACTGTTAAACGGTACTCCTAGTTTTGCATTTCCATGACTAAAATATTAAAATAATCATACATTTTTTAAGAATATTGAACTTTTTAAGATTTCGTGGGATATATGGATATGTT